GGAAAACAAACAGATTTGTCCTGGAAAGGGTTAAACCGGGTGGCTCCTTGGAGGCAAGGATTCTGAGGCTCCGTCTAACATACTTTGGACATGTTGTGATGAGAGACCGGTCCTTGGAGAGGGACATCATGCTTGGGAGCGTGGAGGGACAGCGCAGGAGAGGAAAGCCTTCTATGAGGTGGATTGATTCAGTGACTGGGATAATTGGGATGGAAGTGTCAGAGACAGTGCAATTGGCACAGTACAAGCGGAGTTTAGGGCTGTTGTACATAGGGTCGCTATGAGTCGCAAGCAACTCAACGGCACATAACAACAAAAACACCACCATCAAAAGAGGTGAAGAAACAGGAAAGCAGACTTATTATGGCCTATGTTATGGCGTCTTGCTGATGAGCTTAGTGTATAGACGTACTTCTCAAGATATTCAACAATTTTAGGTCTCTGACACTCCAACATGTTCAACTCCAGTCTATAATTCTAGTCAAAGAATACAGGTGTTCAAGAAGGACGATCCTAAAGTGAACCACTGTTTTGTTCCATTCCGGAGCAGTATGGAGTTACAGAAAGAAAATTCAAGGTTCTCAGTAAATTGTTAGAATAAATAGCTTTTCACATGTTGTCTTGAAGCCCTCTAAAGCCCTCTGGAATAAGGGGGCTGGGAGAAGGGACCAACATCCTCCTCCATATGGAAGGGTAACCCTACCTAACAAAAGGAATTGCCACTCTAAAGCCCACACCTGCACAGATTGTTGCCTTCTGAGGTTTTAAGAATCACTGAGTAAGTTAAACCTCTTAGGGCCTGGTTCTTAATCACAATCCCTAAATGACATGACCAGAAGAAGGAGACAAGTAAAGGAATTTGTGGGTGTAACTGACAGTCTTCAAACCACTCAGGGGGACCTCTCAAACTGTTCACCTCTCCTTCCTGACTCTCAATTTAAAAGTAAATAATGCATTGAAAGACATGAGGGAGAGAACTGTTTTAAAGGAATATATGATTAGGTATTTTCATGACTAGAGTCCGGAATGAGAGCTTCATGGGGCAGTGGACTGGGACAATTATATAATAATGAAAGTATTTTTCTTTTTTTTTTACTTTTCAAAGAGAAAAAACAGCTGGGGGGAGGGGTGGGCAAGGGGGAAAATGTGCAACAGTGAATGAATGGAAATCCAAAGTGTGTATAAATTTTCATTAAAATTTCAATTTTAAAAAAGTAAAACTGATAATTTCTTTTGAGACAATAATAATTTTAGTCATAATTTTATTTATGGAAGGGTAAGTTGGTCAGCTGTAGGCTGGCTTCCACGTGTTGCTGTAGTTACTTCCCCGCAAGCCTACGGTCCAGTGGACAGTCAGAAGAGCCATGTGGACAACTTCTGCAGGCATCTAGGACACACATCTCTGGGTCAACCTCTGTGTAGATAATTCCTATCATGAGACTACATTCAGTCAGTTAATATCCATATTTAATGTAGTTACTGAATGGTCTAAACTATTCCAGCTACTCTGTCATCCACCCACCCACATTCCTTCCTTTTTACTCATTTGTGACACTGTACTTCAGAAGTTTTGGGTGCCAGGTGATGAAGCTGTGACTGAAGGTAGAAGAGAGGATGTTCTACCACTGTAGTGAAGAGAAGGGCATCAATGACAGAGAAGAACAGGCACTGTGAACTTGTGGAGCCAGGGGATGACCCAGACCTCAGAGTAGCAGTTGAATGTCTGTAACAGAAAGGGCACAGTTGAGAGCCACCTGTGCTCCAACAGTGTGCAGCTCCTGACAGGGCACACCCACACAAATTACCCATTACCTTTTAATTGGCATATTTAGCAGAGTGCTGGTGCACTGTGTGCCTTTTCTATGCTCCCTTCCCCTAAAGTTTTATTTTGAAAAGTTTTTAAACACAAAAGTTAAAAGAATAGTTCAAAGTCATATATACCTTTCACCTGTATCTACAGCTTGTAAAATTTTGCTCTGTTTGAGCTCTTGTATGTTCTCTCATATGTATTTATATAAGACAGGCAAGTTTTTAGATCTATAAATTAGGGTCTGATGGTGTGGTGAATTGTACTGTTAACCAAAATATCTGTGGTATGAGCTGCACCATGGGGGAAAGATGGGCAGTCTTCCTGTTTAGATTTACATCCTCAGAACCTAGTGGACATTGAGAAGCGAAGTGATTCAACATGATGACATTGGAATGAAATCATATAACTATATGTGTTTATGGAGAGGAGAATTTATTCATTATCTGATCGCTCTTATTTTACACTCAGCCCCCTCTGACCAAGCACACAGTGTTTATTTGGGGGAGAATGAAGGAACAGTCTGAGGACTTAGGATCTATAACCTTCACCCATGTTCCTTTGGAAGCATTCCACCTACATTTACTACCAGTGTCTGTAGTTGTGCAATGAGACCTTACTGTCCGACACAGGATGAAGGAATGCCTTTCACAACCCTGGGAAGAGGGATGGGATGGCATGAGCAGACCTGGAAAGGCCAAGAGACTTTTTTTTTACCTCTGTCAAGGTGGGGTTGGTTTGAAAGTCACAGTTGTCCAGATTGGGATGGCTGGTTTTCCTGCAGGTGGTCCTGCCAATTTCTATGTCAAGCATATATTTCATGCCTTTCACTATCTGAGAAGAACAAAGGAACAGGATCCTGGTGCTAGGTGCAAGGGGTAGTAGGCTCCTTCAATAACAAGTAGTGGCATTAGGAAGGTGATAAAAGCAACCAGATGTGTGGCTGGGAAGGTGGTAGAGTAGTTTGGAAAGGGAGAATATGTACCAAATTATCAGAAGCACTCTGAGATTTGAGGACAAGTTTTCTCCTCTCATGAATGGTGAGATCCAGAGCTCCAAGCTGAGATATCCTGGGACTCCGAGTCCATCCACATTCCTCCCCCACCTCTGCATATTCTCAATTCTAGTTAGAGGGCTACTCTAAGTTTGAGAGCAGCAACAATGATGCAGCATCTGTCATTAGCTAGAACAGCTTTCTGATAAGAGGCCAGAGTTCAGGAGCAGCATCAGGCCAAGTTTCCCTGGGTCTGTCCCTGCCCATACCTGTAGCACACCCAGAAGCTTGCCCACTACAGGTTTATCCCTGTATCTCATACAGCTGTTCCTGTATGAATATTTGGTTTTCATTTAAAAATAGTGTTTAACCACTTGAACATGCTACTGGATGAGATTTTTTTGCCAGTGAACTGGTATTTTAGAATTTTTAACTTCCTCCATTTTTAGTCTCAGTTCACCAAATCCTAAATGAAATTTAAATGGTCCCCAACTTCAAGATCCAGAGGAACAGCTTCCCTGACCTCCCCCATTCACAGAGGACGTTGGGAGTTAAGGAACAGACAGCATCATGCTTCAGTTGTTCAGAGAAGGCAAGGGCTGTTTGAGGCTGTGTATCTGGGCCTCTGGAGTGCTAACACAAATGCAGTTTTGAAGAAAGCCTTTTGCAAAAATTTGCAATTGTCTAAAAGAATAATTAAAACCCATAATCCTATGACCTAGTGGTGATCAATCAGAATATGGTGTGTGCAGAGACATTATCTTTCAGTGAGTCCATGCATTCCTGAGAATGTGAAACTACCTCTAACCGCCTTCTCATGTTGGCAGATAATCTTAGATATGAATGTCTGCATAGTAGGCCTGTTTATTACTGAGCAGCCAGGTTTATGGTGTGTTTCAGAGACACATAGGGCAGTCAAATGTGAACCCACAAGGAGGAGCTGTGGGTGGTTGTATGAGTGGTTCTGTGAGTGCTTTTCCAGAAAATGTCAGATGTAGGCATTTCAGTAGGGTCTGTGGGAGAATCATAATAGGACTAGCTAGGAACTGTCCAAAGAGGAACGAGTAGCTTGGGCCAAAGCTGTGCGAATGCTGTCTGCCTGGCTTTGTTCCTGTAAAAAATTGCTTTCTAATCTGCCCCAGTGGTCAATATCTGACCTTTAGAGGACTTAGAACTGCCAAGAGAAAAATGCTTTGCCACAGCAGCTGAGGACTTTTCATTGACTCTGGGTGGCTCTTCTGTCATCCATTCCTGACATATGTATGCTGGAATGCACCCTATTTCCATACACAAGCCCAGACCTCACCTGGACCAGGGCTTTGTTGATATGGTATTCTTTGAACAAGAAAATGTTATTTGTGCAGTTATTGAATCTTTCACTGGTGTGTCTGGCAGCTTTGAGTACTCCTGGGCTGTTGGTCTTCATTGTTATGGGAAAACCTGACTTCACATCTGAGTTAGGATTCTGGAAAAAGAAATCTGAAAGAGAAAATCAGGCAAGAATATTATTATTAGGAAGAACTCTTGGCATAGATGTTTCATCCTGTACCTATGATTCTTTTACCTGTGCACCCAGTACAGGCTCCACCATTCACCTCCAATGCCTTTGTTGACCATATTCAAGGCTGAGGATGAGACACTATTAGGGGAGGCTGAGTGGACACAGTGACAGATTAAAGGTCTTCATGCCCCTGCACTTAAGATGCTTTCAGAACTAAGGATTACACTTGTCAAAGGTGTTAATCTGAACACATGTCCCAAACAGATACTCCCAATAGGACACAACATCAGATGTCAAGAGATGTCAGTCCCAACCCGGTCTTTGGTGCCAGCCACTGTTTGGCCTTCACTACTTGTGGCTTATCTCCAAACAGGTGGATCACGCTGGAGTTCTCAGACACTTAACACCTGCCTTCTCACTTATAAATGTGCCATAAAGACACTTTCTTCAGCCCTGACCTTTGCCAGTATCTCTATGGTACCTGCTACCGTGTGTGTGTGCGTGCGTGTGTGTGTGTGTGTAAAACTTCCTGGCAGATTTATTTGAAGGCAAGTCTTTTCTCTCCTGTGAATTAGGAGAGCCCTGAAGGCAGGGACCTCACCTAGTAAAGCTTTATAGCACACAACTCCAAATGTAAGGCATTATTCGAAGTCACTTAGATAGATAAATAGACAAGTGGATGGATGGATTGTTGATTAGATGGTGGGTGGGTGTGTGGATGGAAAGATGAGTGGTTGATAGATGAATAGATGAGCAATTAGATGGTGTTCCATATTGAATTGTGCCCCTCCACCAAAAAGATAGGTATAGTAAATCCTAATCTCTATGCTTCTCATTATAATCCCATTTGGGAATGGGTTTTCTTTTAATGACAGTACTAGTGTAGCATATGCCTTAAATCAGTCTCTTTTGTGATTAAAAAGCAAAAAGAGATGGGTCAGTAAAGAGGCCAAGTTTTGTGAAGATTATGCAAGAACCAAGGAATGAAAGCTGAGAAGAGACAAAGCCTTTTTGTAGAGGGAAAGCCCTGTATTCAGATTCTCCACCTCCTTTTGGGCATCAGAAAATAAATTTCTGTTCATAAAAGCTATCTATTTATGGTATTCTATATCAGCACTACTTAACCATTACCAATTAAATGGTGTACCCAAACATATATATATTATAAATCCTAACTTCTTTCTGTCATTAGTATTAATAGAATATTAACTGAAATGCTTCAACAAAAAAATGTAGTGTTGGAGGTGCTCATTTGGAAAACAAACTACCTGGCCAAAAGAAAGAGATCCATATTTGTGGCTGTTCCAAAGAAGAAGGAATCAATAAAATAGTGACATTGGCAAACAATATAATGGAAATTGTTAAGAAAGAAATGGAACGCATAAACATTAACATTAGGTATTGGCAAAGTGAGATAGTTTGGCATGGGACATTTTTAATCAGACGGTCATATGATCGATTTACTACACTGCAGATGAAAAGGTGAGAAAAATGGGTTGCTTAAATAGTTAAAAAGGCTGTTTGAAGATCCATCATGAAACACATTGTTGTGAGTGACAGGATAATACCCATAATATAAGGAAGACCTGTTAGTACCACCATCATTAAAATTTTTGCACCAACAACCAGAGTCAAAAAAGGAGGCAACTTTTGAAGTCATAAATCAAACATGAAACCAAGATACATTAGTAATGGGTGACTTAAATGCAAAAGTTGGGAACCAGGAAGAAGGATCAGTAATCAGGGAACATGGACTTCATGATAGAAGTGAGTCTGGGGATAGAATAATAGAATCCTGCACAAAGGTTCATAACAAATAGCTTTATAAGAAACATAAATGCATCCTATACACATGGATTTCACCTGATGGTATACACAGGCCTCAAATCAATTACATCTGTGGAAGGAATCGTTAGAGAAGTTCAAATTAGTAGTGAAAAGTAGGCTAGGTGCTGACTGTGGAACAGATCATCAACTACTCATATGTAAGTTCAAATTAAAGCTAAAGAAGGACAAATCCACATAAATCAAAATTTGACCTTGAGCCAGTTCTACCTGAGTTTAAAAACCAACTCAGGAGCAGGTTTGAGGCTTTGAACACTATGAACAAAGACCAGATGAGCTGTGGGAGGATATAAAGAATATCATCCATGAAGAATGCAAAAGATCATCACAAAGACCAAATTTTCAGAAGAGATTCTGAAAATTGCATTAGAGTGCCAAGAAGCCAAAGCAAAGAGAAGAAATAAAAAAGTTGAGCTGAATAGAAGATTTCAAAGGGCAGCCCAGGGAGACAAAGCAAAGTATTATAATGAAATGTGCAAAGAACTGGTGTCAGAAAATCAAAAGGGCCAAACTTGCTCTACATTTCTTAAGCTGAAGGAACTAAAGAACAAATTCAAGCCTCGAGTTGCAATACTTAAGGATGCTATGGGCAGAATATTGAATGATCCAGGAAGTATTAAGAGAAGATGGAAGGAGTATACAGAATCACTGTACCAAAAAGAATTGGCTGACACAGAATAATTTCAGGAAACATCATATGATCAAGACTATTGTGATGAAGGAATGCTCTGAAGGATTTGGCAAAAAGTAAAGCCCCAGGAATTGATGGAATACCAATTGACATAATTCATCAAACATGCTGCCCTGGGCATGCTCACCAGGTTTTGCTAAGAAATACAAAGGACAACTACCTAGCCAGCTGACTGGAAAAGATCCATTATTTCCATTAAAAAAACCCCAAAAAAGTCACCAGACAGAGTGTGGAAATTATCGTATATCACATAAAGTAAAATCCTGCTAAAGATTATCCAGAAACTACAGAAACAGTGCATTGACAGAGATCTACCAGAAATACAAGGTGGCCATGGTACTAGAGATGTTGCCAATGTCAGATGGATCATGGCAGAAAGCAAAGAGTACCAGAGGGATATCTATTTGTGTTTCATTGACTATGCAAAGGCATTTGACTGTGTGGATCACAACAAATTGGGTTAACCTTGAGGAGAATGGGAATCCCAAAACCTATACTTGGACCAAAAAGAAGTCCTCAGAATAGAACAAAGAAACACTTCATGGTTCCAAGTCAGGAAAGGAGTGTTCAGGGATGCATCCTGGCTCTATACGTTTTTAATCTATATGAAGAACAGATCATTTGGGAGGCTGGGCTTTATGAGAAGGAATGTGGCATCAGGGTTGGAGGAAGACTCATTAACAACCTACATTATGCAGATGACACAACTTTAAAACTGAGGACGACCTGAAGCACTTGCAGTCTTCAATATGAATTGAAGTTCAATTATCGAGAAGACAGAAATTCTCATCATTGGGTCAATTGGAAGCACCATGATGGATAGAGAAGAGACTGAGGTTGTTAACAGTTACAGCTTGCTTGGCTTCACAATAACACTTTTGACACCAGCAGTCAGGAAATCAAAAGATAAATTGTATCTGGAAAATCTGCTGTCAGGGATCTCTCCAGAGTACTGAAAAGCAACCATATCAGTCTAGAGACTAAGGTGTGCCTAAAGCAGGCCATGGTCTTTGCAGTTACTTGATATTCAACAGAGAGCTGGACAATGACTAAGGATAACAGCAGAAGAATAGATGCCTTTGAGTTGTGGTACTGGAGAAGAGTCTTGAACATACCATGGACCGCCAAGAAAATAAATAGGTCTGTCTGTGAGAGGACAAAACCAGGTTTCTCTCTGGAGGCTAGAATTTTGAAGCTCTGTGTCATACTTCAGGTGTGTGGCCAGGAGGGACCAATCCTTGGAGAAGGACATCATGTTCAGAAAGTTGAAGGGGCAGCACAGGAGAGGAAGACCATGGATGAGAGGTAGATTGATACAGGAAGTAGGGCTGTGGGGTTGGTGTATTGAAGTGAGTGATACTGGCTCAGGACAGAGCAGGCTTCAGAGCTGTTGTACATAGTTACTACAAGTTGCAGGTGATTTGATGGCACATAACACAACTTCACTCACATCATGTTGTTGTTAGGTGCATTGACTAAAGCATGACTCATAGTGACCCTGCGAACAAAAGATCTGAACATTGTTCTATCCTGTCCCATCCTCACACTTCTGACACACGAGCTCATTGTAGCAGTCACCATCTCAGTCCACCTGGTTGACCTTCGCTGACCCCTCCACCCTTCCCAACATTGTGTCCTTCTCCAAGGAATAGCACCTCATAGCAACATGTTCATAGCAAAGCCTCATCATTCTTGCCTCCAAAAAGTATTCTGGCTGCACCTTCTCCAAGACATAACTGTTCATTCTCTTGGCTGTCCATGGGATGTTCAATGCTCTTCTCCCAACACCACAGCTCGGAAGTGTCAATTCTTTTTCTGTCATCCTTATTCATTGCCCAGGTCTCGGATGCGTAGCTAGTAATTGGTAAGATTATGGCCAGAATCAGATGCACCTTGGTCTTCAAACTGACACTACTCACTACTCAATAATTTGGAAAGGTCATTAACTGTAGATTTTCCCAGTGCAGCACATCTCTCTTTATTTCCTGACTGCTGGTACCAAGGGTGTTAATTGTGAATCCAAGCAAGACGAAGCTGTTGACAGTTTAAGTTTCCTCTCCATCCATCATGATGCTGTCCATATTCCAGTGGTAAGGATCTTTTTTCCTGACAATGAGATGCAATCCATACCAAAGGCTGCATTACTTGACTTTCTGCAACAAGTGCTTCAAGTCCTTGCCACTTTCAGCAAGCAAGGTTGTGTCATCTGCACAACACAAGTTATTGATGAGTCTCCCTCTAATCTTGATGCCACACTCCTCATAGAGTCCAGTTCTCGGATAATTTGCTCAGCATGCCATTTGAATATTTATGAAGAGAGAATACAACCCTGGCACACTCTCTTCCCAATTCCAAACCATGCAGTGCTCCCATGCTCCGTTCGCACAACAGCTTTCTGGTCCAGGTATAGGTTCTGCATGAGCAATCAAGTGCTCTGGGATTTCATTTCCTCTCAATGTCAGTCACAGCTTGTCATGATCCACATAGCCAAACACCTTTGCATAGTCAATCAAGCACAGACAATCTTTTGGTATTCCTTTCTTTCAGCCAAGATCCATCTGACATCAGCAATGATATCCT